ACTTCAAAAACAGTTGTTGGAATAATAGAAACATAATTATTATTTATGCTTGCTATGAGAAATATCAGCCTGATTGTGCAGTAGAAAAAAATACAGGTATGCAGTTTTGTCGATTTTGTCATTTAACTGAATGTCATAAAGTCAAATGTATAGCAAATCATTACAGGGAATTTATTATACATGTACTTCACAAGGATTTTCTCTTACGAGGGTTGATCCAAAAGTAATGTCACAGTGTCCATATCTTTTATATCTGGCGTCATATTATCAAATACAATATACCAAAAGATGCACAAATATGAATTTAATTAACTGTTAAATTTTAAATTAATAATGTTTATTTGAATTCATTTTATAGATGTTTAAAACATAGAGCATAGGGGGTGTCGCTGCGTCACAACAGAACGTCACGTTTTAAAATGTATTTTTTCTTAGAATGAAAAAGACAAACACATTAAAAAGATTCTCAAAAAGCACGTAATCTCCCAATTTTTTTAAATACACAATTCTCCTCCTTTTCTAGTCTTTGACTAAAAATTAAATGACGGCATTGGTATTTGTAATCATAAATATTGTTGTTTTACTCTGTTAAATTAAACAAAGAGATTGTCGAAATGAGGAAAAAAGGCTCGACGAGTTGTAATGCATTTTTGCTTCAAATATATGGGAATCATCACTAGCGACATTTTTGTTAATCAATCAGACTTACAGAATAAAGAAAGTAAATAAGAGACATCTTAATAGATGGTTTCAGCAATTCTAGGCGGGTGATTGGTCACCGAATGATTAGCAGCGGACAAGAAGACCGAAAAATAGGAGATCAGACGGAAACGTTCAATGATGTCTGACGTTGTCAAAAAAGACATGCAGACGTATAGAGTGACATGTGAATTTTTAATTTGTCTTACGCTAGTGTTAAAAAAAAATTTGGACAGAGGGCTAAAATATAAAAGGGTAAGGGTGTAATGGTACCAAAAATTCTAAAAGAAAGTGGAATTGGTGAAAGTGTTTGCGAATCACCAATATTTCTTAATGAAACGAAGGGGGAACGCTTAAAAGTATGACGACATGTATCCGTCATATGACGTTATATTTAGGTGCGGCGACAACCATAAAGGCGCATTGTTTAAAATACGATATTTTGAAAAGTATACATCATATTCCTTTGAATTTTTCAGGTCTGATTTGAAATAAATAAAGCTTCCATCATGTATAATTTTGTTGCTTTACGTCGATTTATAGCAAATTTATCAAAGTTGTGACATTACTTTTGGATCAACCCTCGTATTATAATAAATATCACAAGATTGGTAAATGAAATTCAAACTCAATAGTTTTTCGTTGCATTAATACATTTGAAGTTTTTCCGAGTTTGTATGCACCCAAAAACGTGGCAAGAGTGTAAGATTGCTATGAATATTGAAGTGGTCAGTATAGTTAGTGCATTTGTTTAGACTGGATAAATGAGAAGATATTGTTACGTCTTTGACATTTTTGGCATGTTTAAAATTTGTTTCTTTTTTTTGCAAGAAATTGATTAAATGTTTAATTATGTTTACATGTATCTACTCGTATTTTGATGTGTGTTGTATTCAATGCCCAGGAAAATTGCGATTACATTGAATTTCATGAGAATTAAAAATATGTCCCGGAATATCATCAAAGTTTAAATAAGAGGTAGTCTATAAAGAACCTTGTTTTGATTTTTAAAAAAGATTAAAGCTGGTGACAGCACTTTTCCAATACGAACTACATGTGTCGCTTCTTACAGAAAAAACACGCTTTCCAGAGGTATTTACCTGTGGCGGAATGGAATCACGTGACATATTTTCTATTCTTAGCAGGTCAACAAGAGGATAATCCTATGTAAATGTACTCACCGAACAGATTCAAAATCATGATACTTTTTCCTAGAAAACATACAGCGCAAGGTTGTTCAACAAAAATATTTTCACATAAGTTGTATAAATATAATATACACATTATATTTTGATCTCGACTTTGAACAAATCTGCGCTCGATGTTTACGAAAGCTGTGAAGTGGGTACCTGTCACAAATTTCTTTTCATATTCATGAAAATCAAAGGACCCCACCTTCAAAACACGGCTTGGCGTGTTGTCTATTGCAATTAATTTATATTTTTAAACGTTGGCGCAAATAGTACAGACATAAGAGAAAAATAAATTTTACTTTTTAAGTGTCTTAATGAAAGTTTAAAATTTGACAAGTAACCGGGGACCACAGATAATGCCTTATTGAGACTTCTTCTTTCGAAAAAGATATTTTTAGCAAATGGGTCGTAGTCATGATCACAAGGCCATCGATCTTGGTGTCATTTGAAAAAGCTTAATTAGTGTAGGAAGCATACCAAATATGAAGTCTTTATTTTTTAGGGTTCAATGGGTATCGCAAAAGGTCGGGAAAAAACTATTTTTAGCATATAGGTCACAGTCAGGGGCAAAAGGTCATTGACCTCTGTGTCATTTGAAATAACTTAATTAGTGGAGTATGCATACCTTGTTTGAAGTCTCTTTCTCTTCTCTCTTGGTTTAAGAGTTATGGCGAAGGTTAAAGTTGACAACAGACAGACAGACAAATAGACGAACAGATAAACAGACAAACAGACAGGACCAAAACAATAAACGCCTCGGATCCATCGATCCGGGTGCATAAAAACACATTTGTGGGAAGTCGATTCTGAATTTTTCCAAGTTTTTCCAAAGGGGGGAGGGGATATAGTCATAGTGACAATGTCCAATTCCATTCCTAAGAATGTTAGGACTTGTGTAGTTTTTAATGTTTTGTCATGAGCAATTGGTACACCAATATTTGAACACATGGATTTAAAAACATAGGGGAAATTGTGATAAGTGAATGTATTTGGTGGGCAACAAAAAAGAAAATCGTCGAAGTAGAGTGACATGCTTTGGACTCATTTCAGTTGCTTGGAGAACGGGTTTGACGAAAACATCGCCACGTGTTGAAAAATGCCTTCTATATAAGGTAGTGTACCCGACCTGTTCCACCGCCTAGAGAATTCACTCAGAGATCACTCAGAATGACTGTTTTTATAAGTGAAGAAATCTTATTCTATGTATTAAACCTTTTATTCTCCGGAAACCCTGTCTTGCCAATGACCTTAAACGTACTTATTTGATCAAAACTGTACTACAGTAATTCTGCCTTTTAAACGAGGGTTTTTTTTATGTTTACGCACAGGGCCTTGCGTTTTACATTCGAATACGAAATTAGATCATTCGGCAATCCTCGGCTGACTTCGATTGTGCTTTCGCTTTCTGTCCATACTAACTGTCCTAACGAGCGCGTTTGGATTATTTTTAGTCAGAAATGTGTATTGCAGAGGCTCCAAGGGGAAATTTAAGCATAAGGTTTTAGAAGAATCATTTCTGAACAGATCCCAGGCGGTGAGTCAGTAAAATACGGCAAAATATAACGAAAACAGAGGTTGAAGCGAGGAAGGGGTCCAAAATGGCGTCCTCCCTTGTGTAGTTTTATAGGTATCGTTTTTTTTAATAAATATTTTTTACACGCCAGGAGCAAGTCCCTGTGGTTTACGTGCAAGTGACATTTGCAGTATGGCCCCAATATTTAACTTACACACTGACTTTTAAGAAGATAAATTCTTTGTACATGTTTTTTTGCTCTACTGGTCAGAGACCAGAGAGCTTATGACGTCGCGCATAGTATTGGGGTTTGAAATTGCGTAACTTGTAACACTGTAAACGACGGTCGTTGGTATTTTTGGTCATTTCATCGTTTTGGCTACATTGATTTTTCTGGCGATGTGTACAAATCTTCTTTAACTTCCTGTGATGATGTCACACAACATTCATTGATAAATTTCTAATTTACGGACTGTTCCGACTGTTCGTAAAATAGAAAGCGTTCCGTAACATGCCGTAATCTTGACAAATTACAAGAAAAGATAGAATGTTTGATAAAGATATTTTACTATATAATGGGTTCTTTTTGTAAAACTAAGTTGATAATTGAAATGTGCAAATCAAGAAGTTGTCACATTTTTATTTTAAAAAATTTTAAGCAAGCAGTAGGTAAGATTAATAGAGCGATTTTGATGTCTAGTCGGTTTTGTTAATACGACACAAATATGCGTATTATGATATTTAACCAGGTGTGCCGTTAAACAAACTGAAGTTCTGCTTGACAAAGTTGTTTATTGCTCCTCCAGTGAGGGTGAAAACTGTAAAATTACAATCAAAGAGTTACAAAGAGAAAACTGTCAATATTACATAATAATCCAATCCATAATTCATACTATGCCAAATATAGAAAATTGAGACAAGGAAGGTTTTAAGGCTTAAACAATAAAAGACAGGTAAAAACTCTATAGATACATGATAACTGTTTTATCTCAACAGAATAAAATGTTATTAAATTGTGTAGTATACTGATAACAAGACATTATTGACAGAACTCGAAAGTAAACTTTGTTTTACATTATGCCAAATTGACGCATAGACAAAAACTTGCAGAAATAAACTGACTTAAGAAGATATGACAATAAATTGCAAGGTTAAAAATTGACAATCTGAAGATTATTAAAGCTTCCTACAATGCTTATACAAATACTTACTTCATAGTGCGTCAAAAATACACCAAACATGAATTGTGCAAATAATTCTCGAGCACATGTAAACAACGGAAGAACTATAATAAAATTCGAACCAATCCGGAAAAACAATTCCGTATTCACCACACTCCCCTTCCAATTTTTACAAAAATTGCCATTTATCTAAATAAAGACTTACACATAATTCAAAGGCATATGCTTTTGTATCCAAAAAATACATTTGGTTTATGTTGTAAACACAAAAATACAAATGTTGTAACAAGGATTATAGTTCACTTGACTACTGTGTTACAAATAAATGCATCATAACATCAAAATAAAAGCTTTGGAAATTTCTGAACACATATTGGCATACAACAATGCACAATAGGCCGCACAACAAATAAATCACTCACAATCAAGTAAATGAATCAGTTCTGTGATTGGTCTCACATATGAAGTACGAATGTCGTCATGAACAATGGTGACCTTGACCTTTCGAATGACATCGTTCTTGCTTGGGAATACTTCCTCGATGACACCAACGGGCCACATGTTTCGATGAGAACTGTCGTCCTTGACTAGCACCACATCACCGACCTTGAAAGTTGTCCCTGGCAACTGCCATTTCCTGCGAGTTTGCAGACAGTGAATGTACTCGAGCTGCCATCTATGCCAGAAGTTATCTGCCAGTTTTTGAACCAACTTCCACTGACTTCTCATAGCGTCTTTATCTCCAAATCCTGTAACGTTCATGGGTGTAGAGAAGTTATGTCCTTTCTGTGTAAGGATCATGGACGGAGAGAGAACAGATGGAGCTTCCGGATCACTGGAAATGGGTAACAAAGGGCGAGTATTCATGATGGCACTCACCTCACTCATGAAGGTATTTAGGACATCAAAGTTTAAGTCCTTCGGTCTGTTCTCCAACAGCAAAGCATCCAGTATACGACGACAGGAACCTATCAGGCGTTCCCAGACGCCTCCAAAATGATGAGCATAGGGCGGGTTGAAAACCCAGGTAGATCCACACTTTGTTAGATAGTCATGGACTGTCCCACTTTCATCAAAAGTTGCACTTATCCCTAGCTCCTTCATTGCCCCAATAAAGTTCGTACCCCTATCCGAACGAAACTGGCGTACAGGGCCACGAATCGCCATGAATCGTCTCAGGGCATTGATGAAAGCTTCACTACTCATATCTCCAACCAATTCTATGTGTACTGCTCTTGACACTAGGCAGGTGAAAAGAATGGCCCAATACTTGGATGTAGTTCTAACACCTCTGGTAGTTTTCTTTATAACGACTGGCCATGGTCCAAAGGTGTCTATCCCCACGAAACTAAATGGAGGCCCAGGCTCAACTCTTTCTAGGGGAAGGTCAGCCATTTTTGTCCATCCTAGATTCCCACGCAATTTCTTGCACAAAACGCATGACCTAATCAGAGAATTTACAAGTCTACGGAATCCAACAACCCAGAAACCCGCGCTTCTGATGGCTCCTTCCGTCATGTGCCTCCCCTGATGATGAACTTCTTCATGATAGTGACGTACTAACAATGTAGCAACATGGTTGTCCTTGGGAATAATAATAGGTTGTGTAGTTACGTCAGAAATCTTCATATGTTTGACTCGACCGCCCACACGCAGAATGCCATTTTGGTCTAACACTGGGTAAAGGGGAACCAAAGAGCTGTTCCGTGGTGGATGTTTTCCTCCTTTGATTGCAAGGATCTCCGATGAATATCTGTCATTTTGAGTCTGCTTAATAATAAAATGTTCAGCATCTTCTTTTAGGGCGACTGTATTTGGTTTGTCAGATTTGGTCCTACTCAAAAGACCTTTAAGGCGCGTAATAGCACGAACCAGACTTGCCCATGTAGAAAATTTTTCAAAGCGTTCACACCATGTAGACATACTTCTGGGTTGAGAAGAATCTGATCCCTGAGAAATGACTGTGGTCTTTGAACAAGTCACCTGTTTACGAACTTCCTCATCTGTCTCGGGATCAACAAGGTCATAGGTTGGAGGTTGGTCTGCACATTGTTCACTATTTCTCAGGAAGTTCGGTCCTAAAAGCCAGCTACTCAAAGGGAGTTCTCTGGTGCTGCAACCACGAGTCGCAATATCAGCTGGGTTCTGTTCAGACATCACGTATCTCCAGCATTCCGGACCACAGAATGACCGTATTCTGCTCACCCTATTCGACACATACACGTGAAATCTCTTAGCGTCATTGGAGATGTATCCCAAAACGACTTGGCTATCTGTGTAGAAGGTAAAGGCATCTTTGGAAACTTGCAGTTGTTCTCTGATAATTTCTGCCATCTCAACAGCCAGAACCGAGGCGCATAGTTCAAGCCTTGGGATCGTGTGCCCGTGTGTGGGGGCAACTTTGGCCTTCCCAAGAAGAAATCCTAACTCCGCATGTTCTTTGTGGAACACTTTCAAGTATGCCACGGCAGCCACTGCCTCCTTTGACGCATCAGAAAAAATGTGCACTTCCAAATGTGATGCCTGTTGTGTGGAAAGTTGGCAATACCTACGGGGTATATGAACCGTTTCAAGAGCATTAAGTGAATCTACCCATCCTTCCCATTTGATCTGAAAGGTGTTAGGAAGTAGGTCGTCCCAGCCAATTTTTGTAGTCATAGCATCCCGCAGAAGCATCTTCCCCACAACAGTCACCGGGGCTGTAAATCCAATGGGGTCAAAAAGGCTATTTATGACTGACAGGACACCTCGTCGTGTTAAAGGCCTTGGTTCCTTGTTTACTCTGAATATGAACTTGTCCATTTCAATATTCCACGCAATGCCCAAGCTCCTTTGTTCCGGTAAGTCGTCCTGCATTATGTTGAGCCCAATGAGATCTTTGCTGAGGTCCTCTTGTTGGAAATGTTGCAAAATCTCAACCGAATTAGACGTAATCTTGTGTAAGCGTAAGCGACCTCCATCATAGAGAGCATGTTGAGTGCGCTTAAGCAGGTCTACTGCCTCAGATACAGTACTAAAGCTCATCAGTCCGTCATCAACATAAAAATTATGAGAGACAAAGTGTTGAATGTCCAGGTCCGCAGATGAAACTGACTTCCTCAACCCAAATGTTGCCACTGACGGACTGGGACTATTCCCGAATACATGTACAGTCATCCTAAATTCCTCTAAAGGAGCCTTCAAGTCATGGTTAGGATGCCACAAGAAACGAAGGTGATCACGGTGGTCTCTCTTCACTCGGAAATTATGGAACATCTGCTCCACATCTGCCATCACAGCATACTTTTCCAATCGAAATCTCATCAACACACCTTGTAAGTTGTTGGAAAGATCTGGTCCTTTCATCAAGGAATCATTCAAGGAGACTCCTTCATAGCGTGCAGATGAGTCAAAGACAACCCTTATAGATCCTGGTTTCTTTGGATGATAGACGCCAAACATTGGCAAATACCATCGTTCTACGTCATCTTCAAGCACAGGTGCTTTCTCTGCATGGCCCCTATTGAACAGCTTTACCATAAACTCCTTGACATGCTCAAACTTCTGGGGGTTGTGTTGTAGGTTCTTGTCGAATGACCTTGCACGCTGCAATGCCTGTAGTTTGTTGTCAGGTAGGCGTGGACGATTCTGTTTAAAAGGAAGGGGGGCCACCCAGTGTCCACTGTCATCCCTCTCGAATGATGTGTCCATTAACTTCAGGAATTCTCTGTCTTCTATCGACAGTCCTATCTTTTCATCATGTTCAGTTTTCTGGAACAGTCTATCTTTAACTAACAACTCGTTGTTACATGGTTCAAAGGTTGAGGGCCTACCATTCCTCAACGCAAATGTTTTGAAAGTCCTGACTTCTGGCAGGTGGGCTCCACCAAGACAAACTTGGCCAACAATGACCCATCCTAAGGCAAGCCTCTGTGCAAATGGCTCATCTTCCTCCCCAACTATCTGCTCATGAACTATGTGAGCACTCGTAAGGTCTCTACCTATCAAAAGTTCTATGTTCGCCGTTTCAATAAGTGGGGGGACTTCAGATGCAATGCACTTCAGGTGCGGATACTGCGTCGCGACCTGGCAGGATGGAATTTCATCTCTATTACTAGGTAAGTCATTACACTCTATCAAATCTGGAAACTTCAGCTGACAAGTGCCATCTAGGGATTCAACTGTGTAACCAGTACCAACTCTTCCAGTTGCCGAAACTGTTCCAGTGCAGGACACAAGTGTATAAGGGACATCACCACCATCATCCTTGAAGTAGTTGAAGACTGAGGAAGTGGCCAATGACCGGTTGCTCTGGTCATCGATAATCGCATAAACCACCATTGACTTCCTTGGATTAGCAATTGTGCTAACTCGAACAGGTACTATCTTCGCACAAGACTTACTCATTCCATGCACCTTCGTACAGGCTGAAGAGACAGTGGGTACGTTCTCCCCTTCATAAGGATTCCCCCTTTTGTCCTTCACAGCATATTGTTCAGAATCTTGTGTCTCTGTTGATTCTTCATGAAGGGCTGTGGGATGTGATGATGCTTGACACACACTACACTTGACGTCTGCTTTACAGTTCTTGGCCCTATGCTTCTTGCCGCTGCAACATTTGAAGCATATTCCATTTGTCAAGATTATTTTCTTACGTTCTCCAATAGACTTTTGGCGAAAAGGTACACAGTTGTTCAAAGAATGTTGACTGTTCTTATGTAGTGGACACATGTCTGACACATTGGTAGAAATGGCCTCTGTCTTTCTAGCCTGTACTTTAGGCACTGGGAAAGTCTTGTTCACAGAAAACTTGCCAGAGGTTTGTCTAGGCTGCTGTGCTTGGAAGTTTGACTGTTTCCTGGCGCCTTTCTTCTCGAACTGAAATGCGGGATCATTCTTCATTTCTGCCGTATTTTCCAGAAACTTGAGGAAAACTGAAAAAGGTGGATAGGTCACTCCAGCACTTCGCTTGTATTTTGTAGCCTCTGAAGTCCACTTGTCCTTCAGGTTCCATGGAAGTTTTTCAACAAGTTCATTCACACCTTTCTTAGAGTCAAAGTAACTGAACAACACTCCAAACTGAGGTTGGCTCTTTAATGATGCGATTTCAGATGCTAGATCTGCTAAGTCGTATAGTAGATGAAAGTGATCTGAGGTAATTTCTGGAAAGTCCTTTATTTTCTTAAGAATGTAGTTTTCAATCTGTTCCGCAGCTCCAAAGCGCCTTTCTAGTCTTTCCCAGATTTTCTTGATTGCTATATTTGGACTGCTCGCGTTGCAGGCTCTTATCGTCTTAGCTTGCCTCGAAGATTCTGGTCCAAGTTTCTCACACAATAGCTCCAGTCTTTCTGTGTCTGTAGCCCCAAGCTCTTCCATAATGCCGTTAAATCCCATCTTCCAGGAAATAAACATCATTGGATTATCATCGAATGTCGAGAGTCTTGATAGTATTAAGTCTCTTTTAACTAGGTGTTTTGTGAACACGTCGATCATTGATAGTCCATTCCCTGGTGGTACAAACGGTTGAGCTTCAGGATTCAACTGTGTCCTGGGGACATTGTCATTAGAAGGGGAAGAGAAAGACTGTGCAGGTGTGGACATTACTACAGCCTCTTTCTGTGAATCATCAATTTTTGGACTGTTTGTCTCGGAGACCTTTCCTGCATTTTCATGCTTCTTGCGTTCCTCCTCGTACCTTGGAAGAAGTTCTAAGTATTCTTCAGTCTTCGACCTGCTTGACAAACTTGGCGCAAGCTCTCGTAAGTGTGGTTCATCTTTTAGGACACTTAGTTCACTTTCAACCATCTTCATCTCTCGCTGTGCTCTAAAGCGTTTCAGTTGTGCTTCAAGTGCTAACTCCTCATCTAGATGTTTCAGCATGGTGCGATGAGCTTCTAATTTCGCCTCTTTCTGTCGAAGAATGGACTCCATAGAGCGGTTGGAAGCCTTACTTGAAGAAATCGTCCGCTGAGTAAGCGCTCTAAACGACTTTTGTGACATGTGGTCTTCTTCTTTAGGAATCCTTGATTGATTTACCAGCCGCTCAATCCTGCTTCTAGCCACATTCACTTTTGCCAGTAAAGTCTCTTTAATCAACAAATGTGATGCAAGTTCATTTGCACTTTCCTCTGATCTAGTAGCTCTTAAGTATTCACAGAAAGAATTTGACTCCTTCTCGTACGCATCGAAGCCTTTCTTCAAAAGCTCGTCTACTGATTTAAGGGTACTAGCGTCACTGCTTGATCTGTCGATTTCATCGAAACATTCCCTCCATTCATTCCTAATGTTGCTCAATTTGCGTTGAAATGTCTCTACCCTCACTTCGTACTCCTCTTGAGCCGGTACAGTCAACGTTCTATAACGTGAGCTTCTTCTTAGAGGGTCTGCAGACAAACTCATCCTGGTGACTCCTATGTGACTTTCTATGAATTTTCACTGTGCCGTTAAACAAACTGAAGTTCTGCTTGACAAAGTTGTTTATTGCTCCTCCAGTGAGGGTGAAAACTGTAAAATTACAATCAAAGAGTTACAAAGAGAAAACTGTCAATATTACATAATAATCCAATCCATAATTCATACTATGCCAAATATAGAAAAATTGAGACAAGGAAGGTTTTTAGGCTTAAACGATTAATGACAGGTAAATATTCTATAGATTCATAATTACTGTTTTATCTCAACAGAATAAAATGTTATTAAATTGTGTAATATACTGATAACAAGACATTATTGACAGAACTCGAAAGTAAACTTTGTTTTACATTATGCCAAATTGACGCATAGACAAAAACTTGCAGAAATAAACTGACTTAAGAAGATATGACAATAAATTGCAAGGTTAAAAATTGACAATCTGAAGATTATTAAAGCTTCCTACAATGCTTATACAAATACTTACTTCATAGTGCGTCAAAAATACACCAAACATGAATTGTGCAAATAATTCTCGAGCACATGTAAACAACGGAAGAACTATAATAAAATTCGAACCAATCCGGAAAAACAATTCCGTATTCACCACACCAGGCGTATAACACCAGTATGAGCTGTATTCTCTATTTGCTGGGACAACTTTTAACAGATAAAATGTTATTTTTGAAATGTGCAAATAAACAAAATTTTGCATTCAAAGAAACAATAATAAATAAGTCATTTTTAAGAAAACAGGAGCAAACATTGAATGTCTAGTCTGATTTGTTACGCCTTGAAGTTTTGACGTTTTTACACGTAAACGACATATGCAATAACGTCAGAAAAGTATTTGGTATATTTTGACGTTACAAAATCTGCCCCAAATCTGTGCGCGACGTCTTATGTGATAGTAAGGTGACCGTCCGTCTGTAAATATTTTTTCAAATTCTCTAACAAATTTCAATATAGCTTGACACACCAATAGACTACACTAAGATACATAATTTTTTGCATCGGTGTTTTATTTCAATGAACGGTGTTGCACTGGTTACTAAAAATAGACATTTCTCTGAAATTCCTTTAAAATGCTATTCCTAGTTTTAATCTGATTTCAGTATTACTTGGCACACAATTCGACTACACTAAGATACATAACCTAGTGCATCGGTTTTTGATTTCGATGAACAGTGTTGCCATGGTTACTAAAAGTAGAAAATGTGTGAAATTCCTTTAAAACTCTAATCCTCCTACAGTTTTGGTTTGATTTCAATATAACTTGGAACACAGTTAGACTGCATTAATTAAGTTATATAATTTAGTGCAGAGTTTTCTTGATTTTGATGAACGGTATTGCCATGGCTACTAAAAATAGAAATTTGTGTAAAATTCCTTCAAAACGCTACACCTTCTACAGTTATGGTCTGATTTCAATATAACTTGGAACACAAGTAGACTACACTAAGATACAAAGCTTAAAGCATCGGTTTTTGAATTCGATGAACGGTGTTGCCTTGGTTACTAAAAATAGAAATTTCTCTGAAATTCCTTTAAAACGCTACTCCTCCTACAGTTATGATCTGATTTCAATATAATTTGGCACACAAGTAAACTACATTAAGATACATAATTTTGTGCATTGTTTTTTTTTTGTTTTCGATGAATGGTTTTGCCATGGTTTCTAAAATAGAAATTTCTCTGAAATTCCTTTAAAACGGCTACAGTACAACTCCTACAGTTTTGGCCTGATTTCAATATAACTTGGCACACAAGTAGACTACAATAAGATACATAATTCTATTTATTGCTGCATGTTGTAAAGTTTCAAATCCAGGTGTTACTTTTCCTTTAACATATGTTGAGATCAGTAGAGCTACAGTGTCATCAGAGACTTCTGGTTTTCAAAATCAATATCGGAATTATTCACTACTAGGATAGTCGTTTCTTTGTAATAAAAAAAACAATGCACTTCAAGTTTGCAGTAACATAGTCCTTCAATTTAAAACGGGTTTACCAGTTGACGCTTTAACTAAACGGTATCATCAAGATCATTTATTCCAATTTCCCTTGATCTCTGTAGTGTTAAAACGGATAATAAAGTAGCTATACTTCTGACTTTTTAAAGTTACATTTAATTGTTCTTATACCTACAAAATTTAAAAAAAAGCAGACAAATACACTATGAGATTCAATGTCAAAGAACATTTTATAACAAGAATTCTAGAGTTACATTTTAGACCAAACTGGTCTTGAATTAGACCATAAAGACATATCCTTCCTTCAAGATCTTGACACACTTCTAAATTTTGGCAATTAAAAATAGCTTTGACCTACTTTTAAGTAAGGAGTTGATCATTATGTCGCTGGTTCGAACCCTACTGTGGGCAGTGGAGACCAGTCCTTCGGATGAGACCATATAAACCGAGGTCCCGTGTCGCAGTAAATGCTGTCACGTAAAAGATCCCTCAATGCTCAGTTGTCCTGAGTGCCGAGTATAGGACAAATGCAGCTTACCGTCGGCAAATGGTGGCGTCTCCATATGAGTGAAAAATTCTCGAGAGGAACGTGAAACAACTTACAATCAATCATTCCGTCAATTGACTTACTTTAAGAAAGAGTTATTATGTTTAATAACTCTTGTTATGTTTATAAGAGAGCTAGTTATGGTTTTACTACATTTGTTTTTGTGTTATTTCCTTTTATGTTGGATTGCGTTTGGTTTAATGTTATTTCTAGATCTTAAGGCGTGTTATGATAATGTCTTATCTAAAAATTCAAGTTTACTATTAAATTTCTGAAATTGTGAAATAGGTTCTAGACCTAAGCTACGGAATACTTTATCAATATCATCAAAACACTTTAGACAATTATTCTACAAAATAAATAAAACTCTAGACTTTGACATTATAGAAAACTGCTTTTGAATATAATTGGAATTCTAAAATTTAATTACTTTGTCATTTGTAATTTGCAAAATAATTGAGTGTAATTACATTCTGATTGTACACTAAGTATACAAAATATATTTCAACAAGGATGGGCGATTTTCTGATTGACTGTATCTATGAAGTTTTTTGAAGATCAAATTGTATCTTTTAATAAAGATTTGGAATCCTAATGGTAAAAATTGCATACCTTTACTGACAAATTTATTTTCTCATATTTACGAAATTCAATCATTCAAAAACTTTTACAAATAAGAGACCTCTTGCCGCGGTCTTTAATTCTACATTTATATAATATATATAATCATAGTTTACATCAATATCTATACTTACCTGCATCAACTTTTTGCATTTTCCCCGGGCTGCCTACGATTTTGCCTGAACTTTTGAGACCACCCCTGTGGTATCATACACTATGTGTATACCCATAATGCGCTAGCACTTCCGCTTCAGTTTTGTTCGGGCATCTTGGAAGAAAACCGCGCGTTTTCTTCTGTGATTAATTTTTTTTCTAAGCCTGCGATTAACGATGTCTGATTCGTACAAAATATGTAAAAAGTGTAACAGAGAAATGACAGTTTTAGACGATCACGCAGAATGCTATCGACATCGCGTCTGCAATGAAGCGTTTCCCTGTGAAGTTTGCATAACTTGGACAGAGGAAAAACGGGCGTTAATGAATAAAATGATTGAATGCAAGAAATCTGAAACTGGTAAGAAATCGGCCACGGTGTCAAATCCAGCGACAGAAATTCCCTCTGTGGGGAATAATACTTGTTCTGATTCACAAGCTTCCTCTGCGGGAAACGTAGTTGTATCAGAATCGCTATATCTCTCGGACGAGAGACAAAATGGCTGCAATTTGACACAGGGGTTTTTCCCATCACAAATGAGTAATTTACCCCCTTTCATGCTGGGAAGTTTTGAAACTCAGTGGCAGCAGTATCAAGAAATTTTCATGCGAAATTTGATAGACGCCAGAGTTAAAGAATTAGTACATGGCGCAAGTAAACAGACTGAAAAACCGTCTGCTACAAGTTCACAGAGTAAGTCTACGAGGTTCGATAGATTTCGACCTTCAGATGATCAACACTCAAGAGAGTCAGATGATGAGGATCTTATCAGTCACAGAGGTGACAACGATCCAGTTGTGAACAATTCACAAATTGACGATATTGTTCAAGTCCATGATGAGGACAACCAGTCTGAGTTTGATAACTCTGTTGCAGATTCTGTGCATACAGACTTTAATGATTCATGTACAGTTGACTGGAAAAATTTTGTTAAGAAGGTTACTTCTGAATTGAAAATAGATTCTGAGAAAACTTCTGAAAATCAGGATCGAGTTTTCAAGTCGTATATGTCAGAACGCTTGATAGGGTCAAAAACGTGTACCCAACAACAAGCATTGCCTCTAGACGGTTACATCTTGAACACGTTAACGGATTGATGAAGAGTTCCAGCGTAAGGGTACAATACGCACTTACAAAGCTTCAGATGATGAGAAGTACAGAGTAACATCTGCAGATTTTGATAAATATTGCACAACGCCACGACTTGATGATAACATCGAGGACAGTAGCTTTGCAAGGAAAGGTAATAAAAATTCTTACAGTTTCCGTAATCAAACATTGCATTCACGTAACAATGAGTTGTGGAAGATAGATCAAGAGTCGCGTCTTCTTCTGAGAGAGTTGACTTATGCTTCTCTTATTACCTCGTATGTGGATAATGTAGTATCTGATGAAGACAAGACAGAGGCCCTTCAAGCACTGATGCAAGTTTTTAAGTCGATGGCTGATGTTACTTCACGTATCTTAGTGGGTGCAGTTGCGGCACGAAGAGCCATTCACGTCGAAGATCTCGCATTTAAAAACAAGGCAACTGAAAATAAACTCCTTGTACAGTCTACTCTGAATCCTAAACTCTTTTGTGGGAAATATTTTGACATCCTTCACTCAAGTGCAGAAAGTTTACGGGATGCTAAAGAAACACAACACTTGAGAAATTCAAAGCAGAGAGATGGTTCTAACCCGAATTCTGCAA